CGTAAATGGGAACTGCAACGTTGCTCTCTTTGACTTCACCAGAATCTCCGGCACACTTTCTCAGCGTTTAATCATCTTTTTCGCCCCCCCCGCCCCCCAATTCTGTGCATGCTCCGTCGCTCTCTCTCTCCCTACGAGTTTGTGCCTCCCCTGTCGCCCCAGCACACCTCAGAGGAGAGACAGAAAGGAGAAAGACAGAAAGGGAGAGACTGTTCTTGGTTGCATGAGAAACCAAGAGACTGGCAGAGGATCAGAGCAATGTCAACAAACAAGAGAAGTCCAAAAAGCCTCCGCAGGAGGCTTGCCAAAACTGTTCTCTCACAAAGAAGAGTGCCAGCCAAGCAAGAATTCCATATCTCAAAGCAGAAAGGTTCGCAGGAAGCATCAGATAAACACGGGAACAGCCCGCTTCAGTTGTGGGAATGGAATGGGTTTCAGTGCATCTAAAAGTGTTGTGGTGGTGTCATGATGCTAGACCATCGATTAACAATGTCGGAGCTGATTGTGAGTGATTATGGCATCTACAAGCCACTTTTACACCCAACTAACATGATGAATATTCTAGTCACGTTCTCCTTTCGAACACATACATCTCTGACCAAATATTTATGACTGACATTGATGAGGTGTTTAAAGTTTAAGACCTAATGTCTTCTGAAAATGTAAAAAAGCTGATCTGAGCTGAATAAACTGATTAGTGAAATTATTAAGTTCTTGCATATCACATTCAGCGTAAAAACAGCTGTGCTATTTTACGAGCATTGTCCCATTTAGGAAAAAAAAAAGTTACTCAGGAAAAAAGATCTTTAGGATCTTACTGCACTTATTTACAATTAAAATTGAAATTATTAAGTATATATCAATCTGTATGAACGGAAATCATATTAATAGGTCTCAGTTCTATGTTTCAGATAAGTTGCAAATTAAAATGGGTTTTTAATCAGGAAATATATATATATTCAGTTGTGCATGGAAGCAGAGGCTCTGCATCATTTATACAAGCGTTGAATACCGCTGACATAATTTGTACAAAAATATGAATTTGTAAACTTGATTTGTATGCTCTTGGGCACACTCTGTTGGTTAGGAGGATCAAAGCAGCTGCCAAGTTCACATATGGATCAAGCTGGCTTTGATTCACACAATATTAACCCTTCCATAAGGTTTGAAAGAACAAGCTTCCAAAGATATTCTTGATAGTTGTAAAGTGCATACTGTGAAGGATCACATCAACTGAATCATTCAGTGCAAAGACAATCTTACAGTTGCACGAAAGATTAAAAAAAATGCACACAAGTCACAATAGGACTGGGTTCAGTGTGCATACTTTTCTTGTCGCACTCCTAAATAGTACAAAGACGGTTTCAAATTTCAGAAACCATGATTTTTTTTTTCCCCAGTGGGCTGCAACCTACCATCCCCCCATGACAGTTTGCAGACCGAGCAGGCTTGGAGAAAGACCCCGGCCCCTCATCGCGGAGAAATTCATTCCCAGCGGTTCGACTCCACCGCTCTGAAACTCTCCGTCCACCATTCCCCGGCTACTGACATAGCAGCTGGCGTATATATCTCGGATGTTTCGATCGTGCGTGGAAATTTGAGCGGCATCGTACATATGTGCTCTCCGGGTTTCTTGCCAATAATTCCTCATGTATGTCAAGACACTGCTGCAGCGGGAGCTCATGCAGATGTTCCCCTGAAATTGATTACCCAGCAGTCCCTTTATAAATCTGACCTTTATTTAAGCATTAGAAACACGCATTTGGTACTTTTTCGAGAATTTGATCACTTTGGAATCCCATCAATGTCACGTTTATCACCTGTATCCAGGGTTAAAGTGGGAGTCACAGTGTTGAATTACCAAGACCGTTATTAGTCTAGCAGTTCCAGTTTAGGTCTAACGTTACAACATGGTGACTCTGTTCTGAGCCAGTAAGTTCAGCTGAATACTGTTGAGATACATTAAGGTCCACCATGCAATGTTATTAGAGTAGGATTTAAAAGTGGCTGCAGCATTACACGATGTTCAAACATTACCTGATAGGTTGGTTAAAATCCCACTTATTTGCTTTCCATCCTCACGGAGCTGCACAGCGTGCCACTGAATCCAAGTATTTAAATCCCCGGGTCAGATCCATGGCTGCACCGTCTCTGATATCAAATGCGCTCCTGCTGGAAGAGGCGGCGGCGCAGAACAATCCAGCCACTTTTTTTTTCTGCAAAGGGTTTCTTTGGCAAAATATTACTTAAACTGACATCAAATGTGTTCCGGTCCAACTAGCTGGCAATTTCTTAACATGAACCCGTTTTCGGGTTTAAATCCCATGCGACAAAGGTTGTCTCGGCAAAGTAAGGAGAGTTGTGTTAGGTTTGTTTGGAGGAGAATGTCCCCGCAACAATCAGCGCCGATGGTATGAGCCACTCCATTGTTGGGGCTCGAGACGGCGTCCCATGCTGATGTGTGATCGTGGGAGGCTCGCGGACAGCGCGTGCGCTCGCAGTATTGGCTAAAGTGTGGAATCGTCATAGTGCGCTGTCCAATCGATCCAACTGTGCAATTTATTCATCTCCGATCCTTTAGATTATGATTTAGTGAATATATTAGCCGTGTAAGTAAAAAAAAAAAATTGAATTTTTAGAAATTATTGTATGGAGCTGAGAGATATTTGTAAAACTATTTTTCATGGATTTCATATATGGGTCATGTCTTTTAGTGCTTTTTCAAACAGACAACATATTTCAAGCAAAAATTACAAATCAATAAAGAAAAAAATATATATTTTGCCACGAACCCACAACTTTTTTGGATAAAGAAAAAGTGAAGATTGGCGCGTTCAATAAAATAAAAAAGGGTACAAATGTATGAATTAGGGAATATACAAACAGGTCATTTTTATTACGACCAACGTGTGTCTTTAATAATGTGTAAGTAAATTAATGTGAAATAAGCAAATGAGATTTTGTGATAAAATTTTGCACTATTCTAGCATGACCCAGCTGTTTGTTTTTCTTGTTTTTTTCCTACTCCCTTTTAAACATATCGTTCACAGATTGACATATTAATGATGACGGTAATTGTTATGAGTATTTTGTCAATGCCGTTTTGATGTTTCAAATGAAAAAAGTAAAGCGAACAAAAATGTTCTTATAGCTACTTGTTTAAATGACCAAACATACAATCTAGAACTCGCTACAGGCTGTTTTAGTAAAAAAATAATGTGGTGACAAAATATTTGTAACTCCTATGATTAAAAGTATTGAACTCTATGCTTTCTTAACTTAAGTTACATACACCAGGTAGAGTAGTGATCTGAAAATTGCAGTTGTAGCAGTTTCTATCCATTTTCCATGCTTCACTTTAAGTAATTTTATGAATTCATTCAGCTACTTTTTATCTGACTCCCCTCACCCCTCTCCCCTCCCACTGGGTAGAACTATTGTAACAAAATTAAATCACAGTCCAGTTTCTGGTAAGTAAGTTTCAAGTTTTATTTCTGCGCGTCTTGTTCCCTCTTTTTTTTTCCTTCCAGCGGATGTCCCGCCTCCTGCTTCCGGTGACTTCACAACATTCAACATGTCTGCCGCCATAGCTTCCCTCGCTTCGTACGGGAGCGATTCCGACTCCGAAAACGAGTCAGAATCTAATACCAGTATCAAGAAAGTTGATCCGGATGATCCGGATGCTACGGCTCACCTTAAACCTCTGCAGTCTGGACCCACAATGTCTTTAGCTGTTCTTAATTCTGCCCCGGAGGTCGCTGTTAAGGTAAGCTAAGAGATGCTGTCTAGCTAACGTTAGCTTGACGTTGAATGCGGATTTTGTATTTAATGACTTGACTAAATGTATTGTCTACTATAATATAACCAACTTCATCTACTAAATGGAAAATGAATAGGAGAGCATAAGGCGTTGAGCTGTAGCTTACACGCTTGTCATTGTTGCTTTTTATTTTCGCTGATATAGCTATCTGAATGTACTAATATTATTAATTGTAATGCAAGGTTTAGTTAATCGTACTTTTTGCAAACAGAGAACAATCTCCATCTTCTAATTTCATTGGGTTGGTACTTTATAACTTGGTGAGATCAGTTGGTTAACATTGTTAGCTAATTATTTATGTCTCCATGTCAGGAGGCTGTTGAGACTGGCATACACTTGGACCCTTCACTGAAAGAAGTCACTTATAACCCAACATATGAAACGATGTTTGCCCCTGAGGTAAGTCCGTCAAAAATATTACAGAACTACAAACTAATATGTTTGCACGTAAAATGTACACCTGCAAGTCAAAAGGTTTCCATGAATAATGCCAAAACTTCTAATTAAGCCCTAGTTAAATGTTGAAGTAAAGACTTGGTAGTAACTTTACTTAACTTCATTCTACCCTATGCAGATGGATTGGTGATTGACTCACCTTAGCATTCTTAATGCTTCATGTGACTGAGTCTTATGAATTGAGTTAAATACATATATGACTACAGGGCAGATGATCATTAAATACTGAATATATTAAAAAAAAGATGAGGTAGCTCAACGTACATCTTACACCTTTCACCCACTGTAGATCTTCTACACATAAGAGTGTCCATTACCTACGTAACCAGGACAGAACATGGTGTCCCTTCAAAAAATACCCATGTAAAATGTATTTTTAGATATGTCAACATGTGGCATGATACAGTTTTACAGCAGCTAAGTAACTCTTTCTAAAATAACTTTTTCTAATTCGATATGAACTAAAACAGTTCATATTGAATTGGGCCAATGTGCTGAGCTTTGCTGTAACCACTGTGAATTATGAAGATGATATTTTCTCGGGAAAAGATTAGTTTCACTGCTGCACTTAGAATACAGATTGGTTTATTTTTGTTCTTGAAGCCAAGATACTTTTGAAAAATCCTTTGGTTGGTTCATAGCATCTGTTTTTTCAAAAAAAAAATCTTGTTCATGTCGACCCCTGATTTCTCTTTTCCTCAGGAGAAGAGATCTTTGCTCCTGATCCTTCTGCCATCTTATTCATTTATTTTCTCTTCTATGAATCACAAAGCTGGTTGCTATTGAAATGCATGTTATTTTACAAAAAAAGGTGACTTGTTCTAGAAAACCATTTGGTCAGAAACTCGTGATTTTTCTTAAATCAATGAAAGCACTGTGCTAAGTGCAACTAAAACCAACACTTTTTGATGACATTGACAATAATCGTTGCCTCATTTCATTTTAGTTTGGGCCGACGAATCCGTATAAGTCCCAGCAGATGTCGGCCCCAAGGAACATGCTGTCTGGCTATGCAGAACCTGCTCACGTCAATGATTTTATGTTTGAACAGCAAAGGAGGACTTTCTCTACTTATGGTAAAATGATCTATATCCTCTAGGGTAGGTAGCACACCATTTTTTCTTTTAACAACATTCTTCTGTCTGCTTGTAGGTTACGCTTTAGATCCTTCTGTTGACACACACGAAGCTTCCTCTTGTAGCTATATTGGTGCTGTGGAAGAGGCTGAAAAAAACAAAGGTGTGCATTAATAATGATTATCTTTTAAATTAGTTTGTTTAATAACTTATATATATAATATGTATATATATGTATGTGTGTGTGTTATTATTAAACAATTGTAATACCTCTAATGTAATCCTTCCTTCCTCCAGGACTGACTGTCTTTGAAAGTGGTCAGAAGAAGCCAGAGAAACGGAAGAAGGTCAAAGGTGGGGACGCGGGAGAGATTGACAGCTTCCTGGGGCCGTGGGCGAAATATGTGGACGAAAAAGATGTGGCCAAACCGTCAGAGGTGAAATATTGTTTTATGTGCTAGAAAACATGTTAGTGTAACTTGATTGCTGGTTTACAGAATGATTTGCTGATCATTTGTAACATGTATTAAATTATATGTGATTGTCTTTAAATCACAATTATGAAGCAGAGTGTCTGTATTTTATTCTTTATTATAATTCGTAGCAGGAATACTGAAGTTAAAGCCCCAACAGAATGTTTTTTTTTTTCTGCAGCTACCAAGAGGCAACTGTATAGGCCTTTATATCCAGTCTAATGTATTTTTCTACATCAGATCAGACATTTGGTGCAGCAGATGCTACTTATCACTGGCTTTGTGACTCCACTCGCCCACACAGCCATGTTAAAGCCCTCATAATCGGGCATTCATTCGAGATTAAACTGATTCACGTTGCCGGGCCTGTCTTCATAAATATATAAAATATGACAATTGCTGGGTTGTTTCCTCATAATTAATTTTATTGTACAGGAAGAGCAGAAAGAACTCGATGAGATCACTGCTAAAAGGCAGAAGAAGGGAAGGAATGAAGACGAGGCTCCAGGAGAAGAGAAGACCATTCTTCACGGTAATTAAGATGCTTTTATGTTTTCAATGGCTTTTAGTGAAATTAATCAAAAATAATCTTTTTCCACGGTTAATGACTAAGAGGAGTTAAATTTTCTCTCCTTTTTTTTAAATTTGTTTTAAACATCACATTTTGTCTTTCTTCCTGTCTGCAGTCAAAGACATGTATGACTACCAGGGCAGGTCATACCTCCATGTTCCACAGGATGTGGGCGTCAACTTGCGCTCTGCAGATGCTCCAGATAAGTGTTACCTGCCAAAGAAACAGATTCATGTCTGGTCTGGACACACCAAGGTAAGTGGGAAAAGGAGAACATGGGGGTTTGTTGCTAATGAAGTAACCTGAAAGTGAGCTCTGTTGATATTTCTATGGTTTCTTTCTCTGAACATTTTGACATGCAAAAAGAAAACTAGGAACACTGAGAGTGTTTGTCTCTCAGTGACAAACACTGTAAGATTGTAAGACATTTTTAATCGTCTTACAAAGACTATTCAAAATGTCTTTGTAAGCATTTTGAATTGAAATGAATTCATGTGTGCTACGTTATTGTGTAAAGTGTGACTTTACTTTGAAAACCATTAACCTCTCAAAAACATTTCACCAGTTAAAAAGATGCACAAAAACGTGTAAATGTTATAAACTGTGACACCTGAAAGCTAGATAAAATGCAAAACTGTACAGTACAACACTGTATGATATCGGTACTAACAAATACTTTCATAAGAAGGAGATAAATAAGTAAATAAATCTGTTTGTTTCCAGGGTGTCAGTGCTATCCGATTATATCCCAGGTCTGGTCATCTTCTGCTCTCCTCTTCCATGGACTGCAAGATCAAGGTATATTATCAAATTATCTAATAACAGCAGGAGGTCATTTAAGCAGCACAGACGCTTGATTCCCTCAAGATAGTAGATGTTAATAATTTTACTGTTACATTTCAAGGTGGCTGCCTATGTTTACAGTCTTAAGATGTGGTGCTCTAAGAGTGCATAGGACTGAATGTTGGATTAAATGACTAGAATATAACAGATGTTAAAACCAAACTTATGTTTTGCCCATATGTCCACGATGTCATTTTATATTGATAGAAAAGTCTAAAACATTGAGTATGAGTAGGAAATTTTGAAATGTAAATACTGTAGGAACCCAAATCAGAATATGCATTTTTTCCCCCTTCATCCAAAAGTGGGAAATGTATTTTTTTTTAATGAAAACTTCAAACTTCCACTGTTTTGATCTGTAAGCACATTAATCAGAGACAGGTGTTTGATTCACTTTTTTTTTTTTAATATCTACTGAAGGTCGTTTAAGGTCATTAGATACTTTGATGTGCTTTGATGTATAAATGGGGTTAATTCCTTTGTTTTCTCTTGGATACAAAAGAGCAACCTTTATCAGCCGACCTGCAGCACATATTTTTCTCATGTGGTATAGCTAATATTTTCACCCCAGAAAAACCTGATCAGTGCATTTGATTATTTTGGTTGACTATTTTAGTCAAGACACAGCGTTGTACAAATATGCACAACATTGAGCACATCAATGCTCTGTACTGATCAGGCCATCACTCGATGTGTCTAATTCTCTCTAGCTGTGGGAGGTCTACGGAGAGAGGAGGTGTCTCCGTACATTTATTGGTAAGTAAGCATTTTTTGTTAAATCTATGGTTTATTTTAAAGTTGTCAAATGGTGATGAATCTTTTTTTTTAAATGTAATTTTGAGTGCTGCATCCCTCAAGAGTTCCTGAACAACAGCATGTCATCTGCAAACATGCTGACAGAAAATATGCTCAAGCTCTGAATAAACATAGCCTTTTGGGAAACGTGCGGCAGTGACGGATATGAGCTCATCGTCACTGGAACATTTAAATCTGCTGACCACTGTCAGAGATGCTACGTTTTAAATTTAATTATACATACAGAGAAATATTTACCATTCCAGGTTTGAGTGTTTTTAGGCTAATGCATGCAAGACACTCTGCTACTCCTCCCTGACAGCACACTGTCAGGATAGAGATTGTTTGCAGCTTTGGTTCTGCTTTTCAGCTCCTTCACAGAACATGCATAATTCAGCAGCCCAGGGGCTGAAGGGAACGAGGGGCAAGGGAGGGCACAGAACATGGAGAGGCGATGTGGGGGGGGGGAGAGGAAACCCAGTTAGGAATGAATGAAATTACAAAAGAGTCCATATGTAAGGCAATACTGATTAAAATATATATCTATTTTTTTTTCTTATCTAATGCAGTTTTAGAAGTATTTAGTTATGTCACTGGGTGAATATTAACATTGCTCTGCATTTAATGATCAGCTATGTAATATTAATTTTTCTGTTCTGAAGCTGTGATATTTTTCCTGAGGGATCGGACTCTTTCCAGTACACGCACATTTACCATAAATTAAAACATACGACTTACCGGTCTTCCATTTTAAATGCATATGTCGCTCTGTAAACTTCTGCTTGAAGTACCCACTTTGACTGAACGCCGCACAGAATGTGGACTGGTTTGAAGCATCCAACCCGAAGGATCACTTAGTAAAACAGGGAACAGCGAGGGTAGGGAAATTCATGAATATCAATCAGTGATATTTTCATATTTTAATTCAGCCAGGGACACGGGGGATATTTGCTTACTTGTGTGACCTGTTTTCAGTGGTAGTAATGCATGTGCGTTTCTGCACACACATCAGCGCAAGGCTTTCAGTGGCGATGCTGTTGCCTTTGGTCTGCCAGCAGGCCTGGTTAGAGGAAGAGTGCAGACAGGTGCTTAGCCTCAGTGGGCTCTGTTATCACTGTGGAAACAGCATACCTCTGATAAAAGCTGGTTTTAACAAGGGAGAAAGCTGCAAATAGTCAGACTGCAGGGATCTCAAATCACCTTCCTGCACGAGGAAGAGCCAGACAGTTAAGGACATGAATTAGAAGGAAAACAGAGCACGCAGCCATTGAAGACGTAATTATGGCTTGTAATTTTTGTTTTAGCCTTTCCCTCGTTAGGCTCTACTAAACATTTTCCCTTCCTCATCTTCCACATGTGGAATCATGGAATAATTTTGCCAGTAAGCAATAAGTCATCTGAGGCAAAAATTTGCCATATTTTTTGTTCAGTGTAAAAATATGATTTTATTGCAATAGTTGTGTGCTTATAATTGCTTTGATTTTTTTTTTTTTTTTTTGTGCATTAGGTCACAGCAAAGCAGTGCGAGACATTTGCTTCAACAACAGTGGGACTCAGTTCCTCAGTGCTGCATACGACCGCTACCTTAAACTGTGGGACTCTGAGACAGGTAAGCTGCGTCTCTTACAGAATTAGATATATAACTGCCAATGTAAAATAAATAATAAAGAAACTGACAAAAACAATAGGTTGACTTATCTTGGTCAAACATGTAAAAATAAACTGCAACAAACCTTCTTTCAAATTTTTCTGAAAGTGGAATTGTGGATTTTAAATATAATGTAAAATAAATAATGAAGCATGCCATTGTTCAGAGCACTAAGTATAGAATTCGACTGAATAGATCTGCCCTTACGGATCAGTCACATTGTCACTGATATCTAGAATTTCTCACAGTATCGGGACCAATACAGATATTAACATCGGATCGGTGCATCTCTAATTTGTCTCTTATAGACCAGTCCAGGTTCTGATTTCAGGTGGCTGAACAGACATGCTGCTTTGTCATGTGGTGCAGACACCGCCAGGAAGCACTTATTGACATTTATTGCTGTGAAATGCATTTTGTCACCTTTTGACTGAGTCTTGATTCTACTACATAGCAAATGAACAGCTACTTTTGTCTACGTCTCTGTGTAGAATAAAGCCTTTTCTTTACATCCTCCCTCTGTTGAAATTTGACACCCTTTCAAGTTGAAGAATGCTTCTCCAGCAGAGGGCAGAAAAGAGTTAAATCCCCCACTTGTTGATTTGTTTAAAAAAAAAAAAGAAGATATTTCTTAAATTGTTGTCTGTTTTGTTGATTTCTGTGTGATAGAGATTGTTTATCTAACTCTGTCCCAGCAGCAGGTAGATTTGATTGAAAAGTCCCCATTGCAGTTTTGTATTCCTTCATATGCAGCACTATCTTCCTCGCAGAATGAACAGAAGTAAACAGCATTTTCTGTTTTCCAGCTGACTTGTCGCTCCCCCTGGGGATTGAGCACTACAGCAATAAAAGTTGCAGACTGTGTTCTTTAAGTTGTGGACAGCTTTAGTGTGCCGTAATGGAGAAAAGGAGAGAAAAAAAAAAAAAGAAGAAACAATGGATTTTTCTGGAACCCTGACTTTCAATTTACTTCCCTCTCCACAGGCCAGTGTATCTCTCGCTTCACAAACAGGAAGGTACCCTACTGCGTCAAGTTCAATCCGGACGAGGACAAGCAGAATCTTTTTGTGGCCGGGATGTCAGATAAGAAGATTGTTCAGGTAAAGGACAGCGAGCGATCCGCTTTTGTCGGCAGGGCAGATGCACTACAGTTTCCGCGTTTGGCGCCTGAGCTCATGGGAGCACGAACTACACTTCTCTCTCAAACTTCAGCACTTGTGTACGAATCTCTGTGGGACTTGCACGGGGATCAGTGGATGACAGGACTAGAGCAAGTCATTAATCACAGGCTGCACACGAGCAGTGAAGAAAACGGTGTAATGTAGTGCAACCATCACATCACGTAAAAGTTTGTGTGGTAGTAACATCCAGAGGACAAATGGAGCTGAAAGATTTTATACATTTTTCTTCTAAGAATAAACTATTAAAAGATATATAAAAAGAAAGCACCAGCTCTGCTCCCTAACTATCGGTGTGAATTGCATTTGTTATCTCAATCGGGGCTAACGTTAAATCATGCAGTTGTCCTCCGGGCGACGAGCACAGATGGCTGCTGGCCCCCAGGGAAGGATTTAAATAAAAGAGCACAAATGAAATTGGACAGAACTGCATGCACGTTTCTTGTTTGTTTTCTTGCCTGGGGGTGGGAGCATCTGCGTGGAAACTTTTTTTTTTTTTTTTTACATCTTAATTTGTGCAAGATCCTCTCCAAAAATATATTGATGCTCAAATCCGAGGCCGGTTTGATTTTATTGCTAATCACTGTCACCGCTTCACCGCAGTTGACCAATTTCTCAATGCTGACACAGATTGAACATTTCCTCAAAGGAGAATGTTTGAGGAAATGTTCAAACATTTCCTCAAACAATGTTTGAAGATCAGATGTCATCCATCTGATCTTCTCTTGGCTTAGAAAACTGTATGCTGACACTTTTTTTTATTACGGTTGATTCTCCGCTGGTTGTTCAGATCATCCTGTGTGTTTAGACTTGTTTGGGGTTTGAGTGTTTACTTCCCTTGTTTCTGCTTTGCTTTCTGCCCGTGTTTGCTGGACAGTGGGACATCAGGACGAGCGAGGTGGTTCAGGAGTACGATCGCCACCTGGGTGCTGTGAACACCATCACCTTTGTTGACGAAAATCGCCGCTTTGTCAGCACGTCAGATGATAAGAGTCTGCGAGTCTGGGAGTGGTGAGTAAAGACTACGAATTAAAGGATGCAGAATCTTTGTCTTAAATGCTCCAGTTTGAATATTCTTAACCAGAACTCTTGATTATCCCTATTAATATTCACTTTTATTTTTGTTGTTGCAATGCTAATATGTCCTGGCTTGTTTGGTGTCAGCAGACAGTCAAGACAGACCACCAACAATGATATGTTTATTGGCTCCAGTGCCTGTGGGGATATAAACAAGCTCTGCTGTTTCCGTCTCAAAGATTGTAAATATTTATAGAAGGCCTTAATGTTTAGAATAAGGACTTTTATTCTCTGCTTTATATTTTTAGTGAAAAGAAGCTCCTAGTTTGTTTTTCCCAATGGCAAAAAAAAAAAAAAAAAAACTTCTGTATTTTTAAATTTAGAAACAGAGAGCAAATGTTGATCTTGTAAAGACCAGAAGAAGCCAATCAGCTGTAGCCTGAGAGTCTGTTTTCCACATTGTCTCCTGGGAGACAAAACCGTGGGAGTAAATCAACAAGTTGTTGACCATATTAATTGCCTGACAATTATTTGAATTGGCCAGAAGACATATATTGACTGTAGAGAAAGGTTGGGCACAGATTTATAGATTAAAAATCCATAAGAGGTAAATACCTACATATATTTAAGCTTACATGTTTTTTTTTGTTGTTTTTTTTCATATATTTACATGCATCAGATGCGTCTGAGAAGTAAATAAATCTAAAGCACTGGTTTATTATTAGGGAACAAGTATTGATGAAGGTTTTTAGGATAATCAATCTGAGAGCTTTGCTTAATATTTGCTAATATGCACCTGAGGGGGGGGGGGGGGAAAAAAAGGTTTTGAAAATAACTGTTGCAATTTATGGTCACAGTTTGGGCAGCGAACTTCTCTGGTTTATTTTAATTTAAATTAGTCTTTTAAGCAAGAAACTTTCCAGCCTGATCAGATTCTTCTAAAAATCCTGTGGTCTTCTCAAGCATAATCACTGTAAACACACCTTTATTAGTCAATAATGTCCCTTGGACAAAAATTGTATTTGTTGTTCCATTTCTCTCCACAGCTCCACTACAGGACTTCAAAAGCTTTACTTGCTGAATTTAATTTGAGTCCTAAAAAAAACTTTGAACTCCTTGTTCAGATTTCTAGTACTGTCATAAATTATATTTTAAGAATTTATTTTTGTAATTCATACAAAATAATAAAATGTATATGAATAAGTAGAAAATTAAACAGGCAATAAAGTTCTGTTTCCTAAATGTGTTTATTTTTATGTTTAGGGGATTAAAATCAAAACGTTACATTGATTATCGATTTATTTGACATAGGAGAGTGTCTATTTCTGTCATTTAAAAAAAAAAAAATTGCTCATAGGTAAATATTAGCTACATAATTAAGTTCCGAATTCCTGTAGTTCTTAAATTATTATGTAATAAAAATCTTAGAGTTCTCTTCCAGAGAACGGCAGAAACAATGTTTATCATCTCTTACTTTCTTATTCCCTCTTATTAGTTTGTTGAAACTGCTTTCATTTAACTCCAGCTGTTCCCCGTCACTGATATAACTCAGTGTAAACAGATGGCAGGATCAGTTCCAGATTAAAACTCTTAAGCACACTTCCGATGCAGATGTGCTGGGAAAGACACAGAGAGACATTAGTGACATTGAGTAACTTTATTTTTTTAAGACGTCCCCCGGCGACCAAGCAAAGCCCTTTCCATTCATAATGACAGAGACAAACACAGAGAGCTGTAAATGTGAAAGATCTGCTTCAGACCAATTAAGATCAAATAGTGGCACATCTCTGCCAAAGCAGACAAACAGAGAGAGCATGAAAGGACTGGCGACAGTGTGAGGAGAGCAAATAAGGATTTCGTAAATAATTGGTTGCTTGTGCAGTCACGGTTCGACATCAAAAGCTTTCGGATTTTATTCAGATATTTACGTGCTCTAACTAGCTCTAACTACACCGATAATTTTGCTGTTCCACAGCTGCTGTTTTGCTGTCGGTGTTAAGTATTTTTCAGGCTCGCAGACAGAACAGCAGAGGTTAGCAGAGAGGTTTATTAACTATTTCCCTTTGGGGTTGTAGAGGCTGAACCGGTGCTTAATCCGTTGTCCTATGGGATCACCAGGCTTTGTGTCTTTTTCAGGGACATCCCTGTGGACTTCAAGTACATCGCTGAGCCCAGTATGCACTCCATGCCAGCTGTGACTCTGTCTCCCAATGGTGAGTCCCCTGATATTTTGGAAAAAAAAACAAAAAAAAAACAACAAAAAAAAAACACACAAACTGCAACATAGAGTGGAGGACTCTAGGGAACTCAAACCTACATTACCACACTGATGTAGATTCATACTGCCCAAGGTTGGCCGTTTCTCAGAGGAGTAAAACAGCACGAGATTTGCAGAACAAGTCGGTATAAACCGAGTCAGTCTAAAGAGTTTGTGGTCTGCAAGCCTGCTGTGGTTGTTTCTGTATTGTTGGTAAACTGGATTTCCGAGTTTCTCAGCCTGCAGCTTCCCACCTGGTTACAGCTGTGCGAATTGTTATGAACAAAGACCTCTGCATCTGTTGCAAACCATATTATTTGGCACTGGGAAGGGCCGTAAGTTTTGTTCACTTTCATGATTATGAAATGATAATACCAAAGTGTTGTATAATATTAGGGAAGACTGCCGACTTGTCATTTGTCGAGGTGGCAGATGTTGAGACTGGGGCTGGACGACACGGCAGAAATCACAATAGACGTGTTTCACATCTGTCTATAATTATTTGTTTTGTATTGATTTGTTTTCTGCTTTAAATATATGAACCGGTGATGTCACCTTTCCTGTTTTATCTACAATTTCCTCATGACCTGTTTCGCTCATTTTCTCCGTTCACTCCACATCATTGTCTTTTTTTTTTTAAGATGAGCTCCTGCTGCACAGGTGTTACTCAGTGGTTTGTTGCTAGGTTACCAATGAGTGAGTGAGTTAATTGATGCCACCTGGTCGAGCTACTAAAGCTTTTCTTCTGACTACATCCCCCAGAATGCTGTGCGGTTCTGCACCGGAGTTCAGTGAAATTCTACTGGACATATTTTCTTTTCGTATGGATGACGCATCTTTATCATGATATATATTTTTGTTGATTTATCGGCCATCCCTAATTGATGCCCACTAAAAGAGGCTAACTCTTGTATCCAAGCGTGAAAGTAAGTGAAAAGAAAACGTGATATAGAAGGCGTGCATAAGCAATAGGGATGGATGCAACCCAGTCTTCCTTAAAACCTCAGCAGAACCGCAGGCCACTCACCTCTGTGTCACATAGTATGGTATTATAAATATTCATGCGGAACAAGCCCTGACTAAGTAAACAAGTGAAAAGAATCATATTGTGTATGCAATGAATCTAAATAACAGGAGTTTCACTTTAGAACTTAATTATAAATTAAAGAAAGTTTAAAATGACACTCTGATTTATTAAGGTCCACCGGTACACCAAGACATGAAATCGCAAAGCATTTAAATCGCAGATGTACCCGTCCACCTAAAGCACCTAAACTACAAACATTTAAAAATGCTGATAGGGAATTTTTTTTTTTTTTCCGACCAACAGACCCAGGCCTGCTGCTTCTCTTTCTCCCCCCCCTTTTTTTTTTTTTTTTTTTGTCTTTTTGCAACGATAAGCAAACTGTTTCCTCGGTTTAGCGTCATAATTAACATACAGATCTGAAGGCGTTATTGATGTTCCCATTAAAACCCGCCAAGGAAGTGAAGAAGTGCGTCTTTCCAAATGTCAGTCTATTCCTTATGGGCAGATGTATTGAGCCCAGGCATGTTGGAAATTAGTATTATGATTTATGTAGTGCAGGCTTGCTGCTGGCACTGTGTCTCAGTTGTACTGAATATTGATGTTGTCAGATGCTTATTAAGAACAGATCAAGATGTGTGACAAGAGCATTCGGGGTTATTATGCAGATTTTACACACTAGGATAGATTAATTTTGCTTTTTTTTTTTTTTTTTTATTTTTTTTGCAAAACTTTGAGTGGGAATGGAAACTGAATCTGACAGCAACCAAGTTGTATAAGGAACACTAACAGAAATGGACATTCCACTTTAGCTCCAGCTCTTGGTTTTCCAATTAATAGGCTCTGCGTTGCAGCCCATCATCTTCAGCTGGGGCCTTACTCAGCTTTTTGCTCCCTCCTCTCCACCTGCCTAAATCCCTTTCCCCTCATGTTCTCTTTTTTTACTCTCTTCCCTCCTCCTGGTCGACGTTTGTATTTGTCCCAACATGATTTGTTTTTCCGCGGCGTGTGAATAATGAATGTGTTCTCAGTGGGAAACCATTCAGTTTTCTCTTACCCCTAAATGACACCTGGCCCCCCCTTGGCGCCACATCTACGGTCTCTTGTTCTTTTGAGTCCCCTGCGTCTTCCTATTTCACTGAAAGTTGTTTTTGCTCTCCTGTACCTATTACAGTAGACATTTCGGGGCTTTTTAAAGGTTCTTTTTTTTTTTTTCTGGAGAGGGATGTAACATGCACGTACACACCGACTGGATACCTTGCTTTCATACCTCATTAATAATCATGTTCCTGTTAAGAGGTGCAGTGAGTTGTGTGATGCCCTGAAAGTGATTTACTGCTTCCCTTTGCTGTGTAGTGACTTGAAACTGTCGTCATGTCAAGAGCTGAAACGCAGCGCGAAACAGATTATAATTGAGCACCTAATGATGAGAAAGCCTGCCTAATTTTTCTAAAATTGCTTCAATCTTTCTCATTTAATGAAGGTAGAACGATGGGTCCCGTGCCCTTCTTGGGGAACTGTCCTCCTTTTATTTTAAAAGTTTTATGCTCGAGTCAAGTTTCTGCTGTTTTTCTAGCTAAAATATTCGAGTCCTGAATTTAGATGCTAGGTTTACAACTCGACCGGCAGCAGCATAAAAATACGACTTCAAAGATCTCGGTGTCTGCTTGTTAAACCTCTGGCTGTACAGAGCCATGCAAATGAGGCCAAGAAGTGAGCTAACAGGCAATTTAAAATGTTCTGTACAATCTTGTAGCTTTAATGCCGCTTCACTTGATAATAAACATTTTTTACCCCCCTTCCCTTTTAAACATCTTGTGCTGCTTTGCCAAGACTTTTAAACTGTGCTTGGGAAAGACGAGTTTCTCCCGCTGTTTACACACGCTGGTTTCTAATTTCAGGTAAATGGCTGGCGTGCCAGTCCATGGACAACCAGATTCTTATCTTTGGAGCCCAGAATCGCTTCAGACTGAACAAAAAGAAAATCTTCAAGGGTCACATGGTGGCCGGCTACGCCTGCCAAGTGGATTTCTCCCCAGACATGAGGTAGGGTGTTTTCTGATCGAACAAAAACCAGAGGAAGTTTCTCAAATATCAATGACAAAAAAGCCTATGAATAAATTAATGGTGGGCCACCAGGGTTGTTATCTAATAAGCAGGAAGGAAAATATTAAATTCAGTGTGTATTTATTTTATATTTTTACTTCAGTGCATCTCAAAGTCAGAATAACAATAATAGTGACAGGTAACAGTCTAACTATAAATACCATAACATTTTAACAGAGGATTTTATTACTATAAGACTTCCTTATTAATTTGTTTTGTAAGAACTTCCATTTACTGATGAGCTTAGAAGAAAAAAAAATCTATAATTACATGAACTTTGGCAATCCAGCTTTCATTTAATTTTTGTCCATGTCTCGCCCACCACTGCACACATTGGCTTACAGATACTCTAACCTTCTGTCATTATTCATTGCTGCACCACAACTTCTGACAGACAAGAAAAAGAAAAGAAAAAAATAGACTTTAAAGCCACGTCTTCCACCTTTTTCCTCCTACTGAACTGCTGTCTTTCTTCCAGCTATGTGGTATCGGGGGATGCAGATGGAAAGCTGAACATTTGGGACTGGAAGACCACCAAGCTCTATCACAGGATCAAGGCTCACGACAAAGTCTGCATCAGTGCTCTGTGGCATCCGCACGAAACCTCGAAGGTCATCACCTGCGGCTGGGATGGACAGATCAAACTCTGGGACTAACTCTGATGGCGTCTAAAATTATGTGCAGAAGTCAGTGATTCTTGGACTTTATTAAATAGTTTTGAGCGAAAGCCAACAGGCTGGTATCCAGTCTACTTGTTTAAGTGTATTTTTGTATCTTGAAATAAAAGCTCAAATATGTACATATTGTGTGTGTACAAGAATGAGCATATTGGAATCTTTAACAATGATATGGCAAAAGAAATATTACAGGGTCAACGACACGTATTTTTATTTTTAGTAGTGTTCTGTTCTTTTTTAAATTTCTTGTTCTACAAAGTGTTTTTAATCATCTAAACATCCTTTTGTGGAAATAAACATTCTGCCCATTTCCTATTTTAGAAAATGAAACTGATTTGTGGTGCAAAATTTATTTCTTTAACCATCATCAAACACAAAGTCAGGGAGAAAATATATATATATAAGCTGAGCGTGTGAAACATTTGATCTTATCTGCACACAACAGCAGTGTGATTTGATATTTTATTCTAGACCCACAAAATTCCCAGTATTCTAACTTTATGACCCATAAAAAGGTGGGAATACAAACGAGGACAAAGACATTCAAGAATCTGTGAGAGGTGGAGCTGCAGGAGGAAGGCAAGCTGGCCGAGGCACTTAGATGTGTAGGGTAACCCAGGGAAACCACGGGTCCTGCTACCGATGTGGATGTTACTTTTATTAGGTACCGCCTACATACGCATTCTTGTAGAGCATCTACCCTCATTCATGGAAACATCACCTGTTGGCAGAGGACAAATTTGGGTAGTAACTAGCTACATTTACTTAATGTAATTGGAGTAAATGTAATTTGTTTTTGAAAAATGTCCTTTTAGGAGTATTTTTACTACACTGTGCTTTTTACTTTTACTTGAGTAATTTTATTATGAACTGTCGCTACTTGCTACAATTAAACAAACCTGTAGTTTTTGTTGAAGTTTCATAGGTTTTTGCTACTTGTATGAATTATTGTCATTTTCGTCCTTAAATTTACTAACTTCCCACCTTATATTTGATCCATCTGATGATGTCATTTCTAAATATTAAATGATAATTTCATCAGTTACCCAGTACTTGTGTAGACCTTTTACCAAATATGGTTTGTACTCGGGTAATTTCTTGGATGACTGCTTTTTACTTTTACTTTTATGTTGAAGTAGTGCTTCTCTTACTTGAGTACAATTTTTTGGATACTGTGCTTACCTCTGGAAGTGTCCTATTTAAGCATGATAATGTTCCTTGCCACAAGCAGGAGTGATCTGAGAAGAATGACTTGCTGGTAGATTAGAAAAATCCACAGGATATATTTTTCAGTTATCTGGACAATAACGCCTCATTGATGGCAGAGGAAAATCAGTGCAAGATGGATGGCAAGGCAGAGTATCTCAAATGACGATTGATTGGAAAATACCATCCCTGAATGCATCACATATTAAACCTTCAAGCAGATGCTGCCTCAGATGACCCTACTTGGTGACGTGGCAGCCAGCTGGAACAAGAATTTGAGGCCGTGGTTTGAACAAGTTCACCAAAGAGAACAAACAAGAAAACATCAGACCACTTGACCTATTACATTGAGATGGTAGATGGTCAGATAACATGGAACTGTGATTTCACTTTCTAGGTGGTAGGAGGTGGATGACTTTAGTACCACGTAGCCCAGCTAAAATCCTCCCAGGCTGGTTTCTTTAACAACACTGATCTCGGTGTAGTCCACTTTCTGCCAGTCACCAAATCTCAGTCCAACAGAGCACATTTGGGATGCGGCGGAACGAGAGATTCCTATCATGGATGTGCAGCCAACCACTCAGCAGGATTTGTGTGATGCTGTCATGTCAATATTCAAGAAAATCTGTGAAGACTGTTTCTGACACATTGCTGAATCTATGCTCTGAAGGGAAAAGGAAAAGATACTAGCAAGCTGTACCTTATAAAGTGTGTGGAGAAAGATTGTATTCTTGTAAATAGCATTCTGCCTTTTGTAGGCAGTACAAATTGCTTCTTTTTTATATTCACTTACTTTCAGAGAGGCAGGCTCTTTCATTTACCTTCTCCTTGGAACAATATGTATGTTTTGTATCCACTGTACAACCTGTGTGGTCTTTTGGCCGTAGTATTTATGAAGATGGAACGGCTGGCCGTGAGCCAGGCTTCAAGAATGTCTAAATCGGGCTGACCTGCAGCCAACAAACACAGAGCCTCTGGAAGTAATTACTTCATCTATGTGAGAGGTCGTCACAGACCAGAGACCGAGTCTAAAAGATTAACTTTTTATGTTTATGTGCCGTCCATGAAGGCTTCCACCGTACGTTCACCCAGCTCAGGGTGTAGGCGCTGCTGGCATTCAAGATGTTCTTGTGTAAAAAAAGGTGAGGTGTGCTCGGATCGCTGTGGACGCGAAAGAGGCGAAAGCCAGCTCGTTCGAGCTCCTTCAGCAGGCTGAACCAGTACCGCACCACAGATGGGTCGTCGCCGGCCACCTCAAAGCCCGCCCAGTGCAGGTGAAGTTCCAGCAGCAGCTGACCCACGGAATCCAGGACTCCTTCCAGAACAAGGTTCTCCAATATCTTCCACTCCGCGCTCTCCATGTCTGCTTTTAGTACATCCACCTAGAACACAGGGACAAAAAAAAGATTTGGGGGGAAAAAAAAAAAAACGATTTCTTTCACACCTAGATAATAAATGAGTTCTATTGTAGCTTAATAATAACACTAAGGTGCAACGAGTTATTGAATTCAAAAGCTATTAAAGGATGTAAAAGGAGTAAGTGAAGCTTGGCCTCGGCTGTTGCTTCAGCAGTGCTGATGATGGATTGAGCCGAGGCACAACTTGACAGGGCTTGCTGGGATGGAATGGGGAGGAATTGCTTCCTAAGATGAATGTTAATAGCACCCTGAGGTCATATTTATGTAAATAGACTCGTGCATGCTCAGTGCTTAATGCATCTCTCCAGGACCTTGAGTTTGATCAGAGGTTTTGCAAACTACTAAAGTTGCCCCGTTTCTGACCTTTATGGGTTTAAAAGTTAAAGATAAGTTTTTGCTTTGAAGAGCAAATTAGAAATTATAGATGCACCAAAGATGACATTTGAGCATTTCTTAGTGTAAAATAACAAGTTTCACGAGACTAAATAAATAAATAAAACTGTTGTAAGTGCTCTGCAGAGAAGTGTTAAATCGTCTTTTATTTATATTAGCTTCGTTTTAAAGAAGTCAAACTTTTTGTAATTTTCCAAGGTAGTTGTGATTGTTCACTAGATCTTATCTTTAATAATGCTTTTATCAGCATGGAACTGAGAATCAGTTTGTATAATGAGCTCCACAGTTCAACCAGGTGTGTGCTATTTGCTCCTGGCTAGTCTGAAGGAGTTGAGAGGGAGAGCAGAAAGGGGTGACTGCTCTGTTTGGCGGAAGTTCGGAAGCTTGGAAGCTGCAGCTCTGAGGAGGAGCTGCCCCGGGAAGGCGGTGCTCGGTCCTTCCAGGCGTTTTGCACAGCTGCATGGTTGTAACGGGTGATTAAAGGATTTCTCAAACATGCGTGGAAGACTCAAGGCAACACTTCTGTTATGTTTTTGATGAGGGAATAACATTATAACCTAATGTGAAGATCAAAAAAGTCGATTTTACACAATACTGCCCATTTAAAGTTTGTTTTTTTTTTGTGTTTTTTTTTTTTTTACTAATCTGGAATAGAGAAAGTAAGGTGGAATACCACTGTATTCCCAATTGTCATCCCAATTGTTATACATGATGCTGGCAGCATCATGTAACTGTGGTGAAAGGTGGCAAAGTTTGCAAAGTGTTGACTATTTGGACCGGCGTGCACATTCACGCCACACTTCTCAGATTTTTATTTTTAAAAGATTTTGAAAGCTGTATGCCATTCTTTTCACTTCATGTGCCCGCTACTTGGTGCTGACATATTGAATTCCAATAAGATCTATCAAAGTTTAGGGATATAACATAACAAAATGTGAAAAAGAGATGAAAAATTATTATGGATATTTCAAGCCTCTAGATGTAGTTAAAAAATTGAAGAAAAATACCAGAAAACCTTATAGAATCTTAAAGTTGTCTCATATTTCAGTTATTGGTGGTAAAGTACTTCATTTGATGTAATAACTTACCTTATCAGCTTCTTATGGAGTTCTGTAGATGTTTGGTGAACAGGCATGAATTTAAACCAGATGTGTAAAAGTAAAAAAGGGGGGGGAAAAAAAAATCATGTGTTTGCAAACTGAAGAGCAGGTATAAGAAATACTGGATTGGTCACCTCAAGTCTGGTTGGAGGACTGAGTAGCCCTGTTAATGTGATTTTATTGGCTTATAGTGCAGTTAATTATCCAATACGTAGTTCTTTTCTCCAAACAAGACGCGACATTCGGCAACTGACATTTGCTTCTTTGTGAGTCGTTGTGAGTGTTTTGTCTCAGTCGGTCACCAGAGCTCCGTAAAAGAGTCATTTGTGCAGTTTTTACCCATTGCAGATCAATGCTCCAGGCAGCACAAATGCATGCGTTAACCTTTGTGAGTGACTGTTTCCTGTCTGAGGGGCCTGGCAGAACCTTTTAAGAGAGAACAATTCTGCCAGTGCCTTTGCTTGCTCCGCTGGCACACCGAGTACTCACATTAAAATCTCATTATGAGGATGTGTGCATGGCCCTGCATTTCAAGCAGGTTGACTACTATCTTCAGTAAACCAGCACACTGTGCCCACCCAAACACTACACACACAACAACAATGTTATATTTGTGCATTTCACAAACTGAATCATTGCAATAAACTGGCAGATTCCAGAAAATGAGTTGAAATTGGAGTTGAACTAGGATTTTTAAAAAAAAACCCGTCTATATACAAGAAGAGGCTTTCTAGCCAAGAGTCGTCTTTAAATTTGGATCTTTCAGCTGCCAGCTGAAATGGTGGGATGTTCACTTGGATCTTGAGACAGACACCCAGGAGAGGAATCATAGTGAGGAATAATTCGTGGTGAGGTGCACGAATGGATCGGTACTTGCACGGAGCGCCCAAATAACGTTGAAACAACAAAATAAATAAATACAGATCTGCGTTGCCACTTACGTCTCTGTGTCCAAAGTCATCGAGGATGGTGGCCAGTTTCTTGCTTGCCTGTCTTTTAGGGGCAATTGCTGGACTGGGGTCCCTCCAGTCTATAGAGATGCGGTGGAACCACATTTCTGCTTTTTGTAGGTGAGGTTGCTCCAGGCTAGGATCAAAGCAGTGGACCTCACAACCTGATCGTGCAAGAAAATGCTCCATGGAGTGATCATCCACTCCCAACCTGAAGACCACAGGAACCAAAAAAAAAAAAAAAAAAAAGATTCACAATTACA